CAGGAAGGTGCAGCTTTTCCATATCAGCCTAACCACACTGCCAGTTCATTTTTTTTTTTTTTTTTTTTGAGGTGGGGTCACACTCTGTCGCCCAGGCAGGAATGCAGTGTTGAAATGTCGGCTCAGTGCAACCTCCACCTCTTAGGTTCAAGCAATCCTCCCGGCTCAGCTTCCTGAGTAGCTGGGACTACAGGCATGTACCTCCATGCCCGGCTAATTTTAATATTTTTAGTAGAGATGGGTTTTCTCCATGTTGGTCAGGCTGGTCTTGAACTTCCGACCTCAGGTGATCTGCTCACCTCTGCTTCCCAAAGTGCTGGAATTACAGGTATGAGCGCCTGGCCACCTCCAGTCCATTCTTAGGGAACTACTGACCAGGACTGATGATGCATTTTAGGTTTGAGCTTTTGGGGGTTATTCTACCAACAAACAGTCTATTGGGAAGAAAACAGTCCCAGGAATGGACAGATGAGAATGCTCACACTGGTTCATCTTTTTCTAACAGTGAGCATGCAGGTAGTCGAAGCTGGTCTGTTTCCAGATGGTTCTTCTAACCAAACTAATTTTTCACTGTTGACAAGTGAGACAAGGGTTGCACTGGAGCAAAGGCTGAGGCTGGGCCATCTCGCATTCCATGCAAAAGTTTCCTACAAGCATTCCTTTTATTTCTCTGTTCTGTCCTGGGTCTGCCTTGACCATGAGGGAGGAGAGTCTCCAGTACCAGCTGCTTTGGCAGTGCCTTTCATCCAGGGCGGCTGAAGGAGTCTTGGACCCTTTCTTTCTCTGGGATCCCTGCCCAGCACCTTCCTACAGAGATGACTTTAAAAGGGGGTGGTGGGGAGGAAGAGCAATGTGCCATTCCGAGGAGTCTGGCATTCCTGAATCCTCCTTCCCTGCTGGGTGCCTGTCACCTGTCCTCACTGCCTCCTTTTCCCAGTCATGCTCGTCAGCTCTGGCTCCTGTCCAATCACCTGAACAGAGGACTAAAGCCTCCACTGCAGGCTGGTTGTAGGTCTTGATTTATGGAAGAATCTTGCACAGCACTGCTAATGTAAATTTCAGTTTTTTCTCTCTAGGACAAACACCAAAAAATATCCTGTGATTTCTACCTATTTCCTTAGGCCTGTGGAAATAAACCTTTATGTACTTAAAGTTATACAGAAAATAGAATAAAGTTAATACCAAACTAGAAAAAAAAAAAAAGAAAAAAGAAAGGCTGCCATCATGGAGAGCCAAGCCTCCCCTGACTACTCAGGAACATTTTAAGAAGCAGTTCGTTCGTTCGTTCGTTCATTCATTCATTCATTCATTCATTGGGTCTTTGTGGCTTGCCTACTATGTGCTGGGCAGGGATAAGAGACTTTCCAGTGGTGCTGGTCAGAGGAGGAAAATGATATGAGCCATTAGCAAGTCCTTCCTTGTATTTTCTCTGTGGTTTTGGATCAGCTCCAGCCACTCTCCTTGGGGGACTGATTGTCCCCAGAGGCCTGGCCAGGCAGGACTGGGTAGCAGGCTTGTCCTTCTGAAGGATGAGGCCAGTGCCACTGACGCCCCTGCATGGGTGCCTGGTGATCGGTGTTAAGGGGTGCTACCTGGAAAAGTCCTCAGGAGCCCTCTTCTTGGCTGGAGTCTAGCCCTTCCCTCTTCACCCCAGCATCCTTCAGGTTTGGTCCAGTTGGTTAGACTGCTGGTTCTCTGTGTAGCAGCCAGGTTCACAGTTTGACCTCGTGTGGGGCCAGGGAATTCTAGCCATGACCATGTGTCTCATTATTGCCTGTCGTAGGACAAGTCACGTGACCTGCCAGGCCTCGGCCTTCTCACCTTGACTGTGGCTGTTCTAAGATTTGGGAATGGGGACAGTATCTCCGTCACAGACACATGCCTGTAGGATGCCCTTTATTCTAGATCCACTGGCTCTGACTGGAGTAGGGGTGGAAGGTGTCCTGCAGGGCTGGGCTGGCTGGGGGAGCCCTGTGGGCCAAGGGGGTGCATGTGGCTCCCTCAGCGAGGGTCCTTCTGGCTGTGCTCCAGGGGAAAAGGTAACAAGGAGCCACTTCCACTTCCCTTCGGTATAAATCCCACAATCAGGAAAATTGCTTCAATTGCTAAAAAACGCTGGTGGGGAAGTCCATTTATTTTTCATTTTTCTCGTGCACTTGCCACCCTCGTGCATGAATCACTGTCGGTATGTAGATTAAATTTATACCCCCGTTATCTTTCATGTCTCTGGTGCGCTGGTGTCAACTGGGCCTCCGGTGACTGAAAGCCCCTGCCTGCTTTTTAGTGGGAGAGAGGATGGCTCCTGTGGAGGAGGCTGCTGAAGGGTTTTCCTTCTGTTCCGGGGTCTCCCCTCGCCCTCCTCTCCTTGGATCTCTGATTAGGACACATCTTCCAGATTTAGGTGGTTTATGGGGAGGGTTTGCAACAAGCATGATGAAGGCCTTGTTTCATTTTGATTAATTAATTAATTCAGAGACAGGGTCTTGCTCTGTTGCCCAGGCTGGAATGCAGTGTTACGATCTCAGCTCACTGCAGCCTCAACCTCCCTGGGCTCAGTGATCCTCTCATCTCAGCCTCCTGGGTAGCTGGGACTACAGATGCACACCACCACACCTGGCTGTTTTGTATTTTTTTTTTGTAGAGGCAGGGTTCCACTATATTGCTTAGGCTGGGCTCAAGTGATCCTCCTGCCTCAGCCTTCCAAACTGCTGGGGTTACAGGAGTGAGCCACCACACCCAGTGCCTTGTTTCATTTTAGTACCTGCTTTGCAGATTGGCCAGGATTCGATATTAAATGTACAGGCCTTTTGAAAACACTCTCTAGTAACACATATATAGGCTCTTTGTTCGCACACACACACACACACAGCTGGGCACCTGGCAGCCTTCCTCTTTGATCCAGGTGACATGGTTACACAGCAGTCATGGAGGATCTGGTTCTCACCTGTGTTCTGGGACGTCCAGAACCATCCACAGCCAACTTCGTGCTTTGTTCTGTGTCCTCAGATTCAGCCATCTCTGTGCACATTCTCTGAAAGTATGGTGCTTTATCTCCTGATTTATTTATTCAACAAATACTAACTCTACTTTCCTGGGTCCTGGATCCCTTTGAGAATCTGATGAAAGCCCAGGTCCCCTCCTGAGGCACAATTTTGAACAGCTTAGCAGGTGGTTTATGGGTTTATCCTGACCCTCAGGCAGAGACTCCAAAGAACTGACAACTGAGAGGCATTCCAGGAATTCAGAAGCCTGGGGTCTTCCTAAGCCATGTCTCATCCCCCGATACCCCAATAGCCTTCTTATACCTATCTCAGAAGAGCATCCCCTGAACTACACTCTAGGCACTTTCAGAGTTACCCATGCAGATTTATTAGAGAACCCCACTTCTCTCTTGGATGCTGTGTCCCTGGTCGGGGGTGTCTCAGGCTGCAGCTGGCCATGCCTGTAACGGGCCCCTGTAGCCCCCTCAGCAGGTATCATTGCTGCATAAGAGACCCATCATTATGCATTAATCTGGGATTCATCATGATAACCATGACCATAATTAATTTATTTGGTATTAATGTGGATGAAATATGTACTGTCCTTTCAGGGGAAATCAGGCTGCCTTATAAGCATTAGTTAAAAGGACCATTAAAATCAAACCTTCTCCAGATCCATTAGGCGAAGTCTTTCATCCTGAAGAAGATAAAGTTCTGCTGTGTGAAATGTCATGAATAATTAGGTTGATTGCTGTTTTAAACTCTGCCCTTGCTTCCCCAATGCCTCCCGCCTCCCTCCTGAAGCGGAGAAGGCTGACCTGTAGCCAGGCACCTTCCGTCACTGTCCCTGTCTGTGCTAGCCCCCAAATTTCCGTTGTCTCCCATGACCACTGGTGTGCCTCTGTTTCTCTCTATGATCAGCATGTGGAAACGGAGTAGAAACCCCACTGGACAATACTTTCAATGTGTCAATTACTCCTTCCTTCCTGGCCTTGGCAGGGGGTGGCTTCCTTGGGAGAAGCTGCCTTGGTGGCAGCTGGTGGCTTCCTCTTGTCTTGGTGCTGTTCTGGAAAGGTGCAGAGGTCTGCAAGGAGAGGTCTGAAGCAGCATTTTCCAAACTGCAGTCTGCAGATTCCTTGCCCCAAATGCTGTAGGGGCTGACAAGTGCAGCTTCCGGGGTCTTCCCCAAACCACCATGCCCCAGGACTGTGCATAAGGGGATGGAGGCAGGCTTGGAGGGCTTTTGTGTGTGCAGGATGGAGGTGAGGGGAGAAATGGAGGCAAAGGAGAGAGAATAGCTGTTAAGAGAGCCTCGCTATGCTGACAAAGTATTTTCTCTGGAGCGTGCTGTTCCCTGGCCAGGCAGGGCTTCCTCCCTGGGAGTGTGTGAGGTGTTGCTGGGTGCTTTCTACACATCGGTCTGTGGCACACATAGTTCCCTGTGAGGATGTCCTCTGAGATCAACCATAAGGGTGAGGAAGCCAGGAGTTGGAGGGGAGACAGCCTGCTTTGAGGGACTTAGTCCATCTGCTGCCCCTGTGAATTGAGGGGTGTTAATTGGGCAGCTGGGGTATCAGCTTTGGAAAAGGTACTTAAGGGAGTCTCTAGTTCTCATCAGCCCCTTCTTTGGTGGTTGAGAGTCCCGGGCACAAAGCAGTGAAGCTAGAGGGAGGCAGAGTAGACCAGGCAGTAAGCTCGGGGTGGCTGGGGGGTTATGCCCATCGATTCTCAAGAGTGGTGGGGTAGGAGGGAGGCTGCTCCAGTAAGTTGGGGGAAGCCAGATCTGCCTCATGTGCCCTAATCCTTTCCTGCTGTCCTGACAGGCGCTTCGGCACGAAATGCACGGCCTGCCAGCAGGGTATCCCCCCGACCCAGGTGGTCCGCAAGGCCCAGGACTTTGTCTACCACCTGCACTGCTTTGCTTGCATCATCTGCACCCGGCAGCTGGCCACAGGGGACGAGTTCTACCTCATGGAGGATGGGCGGCTAGTGTGCAAGGAAGACTACGAGACGGCCAAGCAGAACGGTAAGCAGCATGGCCCCAGTGATCCCCCTCCAGGCCTTTGTTTGGGCCGTGGCCTCTGCCTGAGGTGCCCTTCTCGTGGTGTCCCACCTGCTCAGCCCTCGGAGTCCTACTCTTGCACTGCCGCCTCTGAGCAAATGCTGAACACCTCCCGGGCCATTAGTGCTCGCTGGCTTCATGGAAGTGTTCATCAAGTGGTGGTTCTGAGAGCCTGCCTGTTTCCATGGTGGGCTCAGAAGTAGTCAAGGACCTGGTTATCACCATCATGGCGGCCCCCTTCCCTGGGCCAGAGCTGGGGTGCTGAGGGACAACTGGGAGCTTGGTCTGCAGTGAACAGGTGAGGCTGCTGCTTAGTTCTGCATATGAGGGTGTACATGGACCCTCTCAGCAGCCCCCTGCCTCAAAGGGCCTTGGTGAGAGCCTAGCACTGGCTTCTGCATCCCTCACACATCTGGGATTTCAGCAGATTGTATTCCATTCCCTTCTCAGACTGGGCTCTTCCAGGGCAGGGGTTCCTGGTGTTTCTGCAAGTGCCCAGTGCGTCTGCTAGGTGAAGGGGAAGGACACAAGCCAGATTCAGGGAGGCTCCATCTCAGCAGCATAGCTCCCCCCACCCCCTTCACCACAACCGTTCCAGGGCCCCTGTCCGTGGTGGCAGCAGGAGCTCTGCACGGTGGTGGCTGAAGTCAGGCCCCACATTTAGCAGCCAGACCTGGAAAGGCCTAGCTTGGCCCAGCAGCAGCGGCTCTCACCCTGCACACCATGCTTTTGGGCAGCCCGGGGGCTTTCCAGGATAGGGCCCAGACTGACACATTCCCCATGCTCCCCTCACAAGGCCAACCTCGACATTTACTCCTGCAGCCCTACCTCTGTCTTCTCACTCCCAGCTGTGCCCACGGGTCCGGGGGGTCAGGCCCCGGCTCTGAATTTGGATTTGGCCAAACCTAACCTGATAATCTCAGACGCACGAACACACAAAACATCAAGGTCCTTTGCCTTTGACTAGAATTTTGATCAACTCAGGGTGTTACTATGCAAAATGGCTCTTGTTGGTAGCTCTGGGCTTGATGAGAGAAAAAAAATCAGCAACAATTTCATGTATCTCTTCCTAGATCTTTTCTGAACCCATACACGTGTGTTATACAGATCTGATCCAATACATGGAGAAATTAGTTTTTTGTTCAATGAACACAGTATAAAATCTAAGGGGGCTGTGATGAGGAAGCAGAGGGGACTCATAAGGGCCCTTTAGGTGAGCCAGCTGGAGCTGGGCTTGGCTTCTGTCCATGGCAGGAGGGTGTAGAGCTTCCTGACTCTTTGAGGACCTCCCCTACCCCTGCCCCTTCAGCTCTGGGCTTTCAGGGTGGACAGAGGCCTTTGACCTCCTTCCTCCAGAGACCTGGGGCCTCTGCAGACCCATCCCAAGGCTGTTTGCCTGAATGTACTAATCTGCTCTGGTGTCTTAAAACTCACTCCATGCTAGTGCCTTGGAGTCAGCTGTGATGTCATGGAAGATTAGGGTAGTTTGTCAGGGATGAACCACCACAGCAGATGGACTGAGATACCAAGACACCTTTGGAAGTCTGGTGCCATTCGCTAGAGATACTAAGATGGCATGACCCCCCCTGGCCTGCAGCTGGTTCTCCCCATCATAGGCCTCATTTGGACTCTGCACACTCTCAAATCAGCATCTTCTGATGATGTGGGTGGTTCAAGAGATGACAGAGAAAAATGTAGATTGGTCAGAATCTGGCTGGGGACGTGGGAATGACATTGTGGGGCTCATACTTTTATCGAGGATTATTTGCACCATAGCAGCCCTCTGTAGGACGATGGGAAGAGGCTGGACTTGCTGTCACAAGCCAGCTCGGCATCCCCCTCCACAGGAAGGTCTGGCAAGCTGTAGAACTGGCTGAGCCTCAGCTTCTCAGCTCTATGGGGGAATCATAGCATCTGCCACATAGGGCTGTTTCCTGAGTTTTATATAGGATGAGGCTTGTGAAATGGGAGACCAACGTGGGAGAAGTGCAAACAAACGGGAAAGCAAGGTGTGCTTGAGGTTTTAAAGCAGATGGTTACACAGTGTCTCTGGCCTATTCCCCAGGTCCTTCCCTCGACCCCTCCACCACCGTCAGCAAGGCAGGGCTCTTGGTCTTGGGCAATCAGTGGCCCCTGGAGCAGCAGGGGACCTGTCCACTGCAGAATGTGTGGCTGTGTTTTCAGGTTGTTTTTATTCCCACCCTCTTTCAGGCTCATAGTTCCCGCCCATTAGCTAAACAAAGGATCTCATGGCAGGTAGTTGCACCTTAGTGTGAATGATTTTGTTCACTTGTTCCGTCTCCCTGACTATTTGCATTTTCAATATAATAAGGTTGTGTTTTATGCCAGGGACAAGTTCTAGGAGACCCTGCATCATTCAAAACTAACATATTTTAAGACTGATTTTCCCATAGGAATTAATGTAGAGTGTGTGTGGGGGCTGGTATATTCTGAGAGCACATAAATCCATAACCAGTGAAGTGTATCTTTTTATTTTCTCAGCATTATCTTGAATACCTTGCACAATGCTCTCTCCTAAGTTAACAGCCCCAGGTAGCATGGTCTCGCTTGGCCTTCCTCAAAGCGTTTTATCACATTTAACTTCCGCACCAAAGTTATTGATTTTTGGGTACATTTTTCAGCACGAGCACTGCCAGTGCTACTTAATGAATACTTGGATGACATTGTTATAGGATATAAAAAAGATTTTAAATTATAATAACAGTGAATGTTAAAATAAGAGCATATTAGTCCCCATCATTGCAAGAAGCTAGTCCCGTGCGTGTGAGTAGCAGTGCAGAACCAACAGGCCACCACCCAGGATGATGGGTATATCCCAGTGGCGCTGTCATCTGGCTGTGGCAAAAAATTTATAATTCCCCAGGCCAAGCTATTTTGAAATTAAGTGATTCTCAAGGAATGAAAACATTTTTGGTGATTGCATTAGTTCACATTTTCCATATAATGACTATGTGCACGAGTTCCCATTTGCATAATTCAAAGCTGCACCAGACACTCCTGTCTAGACTCTTACCATATGCACAGGAGGGACTGACTCCTCAGAATGAAAAGGAAGGAGTTTGGGAGGTTTCCCTTTGTCTTTTGGAATGACTCTCTGAGCAGGGTAGTCTCTGCAGCAGGGGCTCCAGAATCCCTTCCGGTCCAGGGCTTCAGGGAGGGAGTTGGGCCACAGCAGTTCCAGGATGAGTGGCCACTCAAGAGAAGAAAACAGCCCAAGAAGGGAAGGTGCGGGGCGCATCCCCCTCACTGTGTGCACGCGTGTCCTGGGCACATAGCTGCTTCACTAGTCTAGTGCCTGCCAAGACCAGGGCAGGCAGTGTTGCACCCTGGGTTTCCTAGGGGAGGTGCGTTACTGGCCCAAGTCACGCACTCAGCAAGAACATTGAAGCCAGGGCGAGCCCTGCCGATGGTGAGGACTGAATGCATAGAAAGTCCTTGGTCAACACCAGCACATGGTAGGTGCTAACACATGTCAGCTATTATTGTTCCTAAGAGAGGGAATGGAAAGGACAGAGCAGAGGCAGAAAGGAAGTCAGGAATGTCACAGAGACACTAAGGGGCACACAGGTGAGCAGCAGAGAGCAGAGCGGCCCAGGCCAACTGCCGACTTCTCCAGGGGACCATGCAGAAAAGGGCAGTGAGCTGGGTGCTGGGAGAAGAAACACACCTTCCCACTTACCTGTGCCACCCGACACCCCTGCGCCCCTCTCTGCCTGACTGTGAACGGAACCAACCAGACTTTACAGGAATTTGAGCTTTTCTCTCAGAATCTGTCAAGGGCTTTGTGTTGATCAGTCCATGTGTTGCCCCGCACGTTCCTTAGACCAGTGTTTTTCAAAAAACTTTGACTACGATTTGCAGTACAAACACTTGCTTTACATTTCATCTTAATGTACACATTCAGGCACTAAAATGTAAACAAGTTCATGAAGCGATCCTGCTATTCTATCATTTTGTTCCATTCTCTTCATCTGACTTCCTCTTTTAGTTTTGATCCACTAAGTTGACTTTACAGCCCACAAGTAGGTTCTCACCCATAGTTTAGAAACCTGCTTACACACTACTAGGTATGCGAACTCACCCCTGGCTGTGAGCCCAGTGATGCCAGGGCAAAGGCGACGTGGCCGTGGGGAAATGGGAGACTCCTGATGAGAGGGGAGGGAAGGCTTCTGGGGTGGCTTTGAATGCAGACTTCACCCTGGCTGTTCACCTTCACAGTTCTGGCATTATCTCACAAGGATGGGCGAGCAGAGTGTTTGTCATGACAGGGACATGTGTGGAACTGGGCACATTCAATTTGATGGGACTTCTGTGCAGCTGGGCTGGCATGGGAGGGGACAGGCAGGGAGCTGAGTGGAGAAAGGACTGGTCTTCCCTTTTCAGTGGCTTGGGAAGGCCTGTGGTGCAGGAGTCGGTGCCGCGGGAGCAGGGAACCTCTCCACTCTGATGTCCCCTGTGCCTCCCACTACCCTGCCTACAGCAGGCAGGCTTAGGTGCAGAAAGGAAGGAGGGAGGGTGGGGAAGGAGGCGTAGCTGCTGCAGATAGGCTGAACCTAGTAAGCAGTGGTTTTTCCATGCAGATGACTCAGAGGCTGGAGCTAAGCGGCCGCGGACCACCATCACAGCCAAGCAGCTGGAGACATTAAAGAATGCATACAAGAACTCCCCCAAGCCTGCCCGGCACGTGAGGGAGCAGCTGTCCTCAGAGACAGGCCTGGACATGAGGGTCGTACAGGTGAGATGCCAGCACTCCTATGCCCTCGGGGGATCCCAGGTCTGGGACAGGGGTGGAAGGTGACCTGAGCAGGGAGCATGAGTGACATCACCTCACTGGTGGTTGGGCTCAGGGCCACAACCCCAGGGCTTTTGCCAGAACTGAAGGCAGAGTTCTGAGGCCAGGGAGAAGGGGCAGGGATGCATTTTACCACCAGACCGGTGCTCCATTCCGGCTTCAGTCTGCTTCCAGCCGCCCACCTTGGGGGTCCTGGGGGCTTTGGATTCATGGTGGACCCCCCTGAGAGTGTCCCTTGTGCTTGTGCGGCAGGTTTGGTTTCAGAACAGAAGGGCCAAAGAGAAACGCCTGAAGAAGGACGCGGGGCGGCACCGCTGGGGGCAGTTCTATAAGAGCGTCAAGAGGAGCCGGGGCGGCAGCAAGCAGGAGAAGGAGAGCTCTGCAGAGGACTGTGGGGTTAGTGACAGTGAGCTGAGCTTCCGAGGTGAGCAGGGCTGGAGGGGCCAGGCCGAGGCCTTAGGAAAGTCCCCTGGGAATCCATAATCCCTGGCACTCAGGAGGGATCTTTCTTAAGGCCTTGGCAACTCCCTCCTGAACACAGGCTTTTCCTCAAGAATTGCAGTGAAGTGGGGGAAATGGTAGTGGCCCTTTACCACGTGTCAGGAGTAGGAAACAAGATTGCTGAGGTCTGGACTGGAAGCTGGGGCTGGGCCAGGCCCTGTTCTGTGGCCCCACGGCCTCCCCCTAATCAGCCCAAACAGCTGTGAACAGATGACCCGGTCCCAGCCTTGTGCCCCTAGTCCCTCTCCTGCCTTTTCCCCTTTGCTGGGACACTGGCCTACTCCAAGGTCCCCTAGAGCCAGCCGTTCCTCCAGTCCGGGTGGTGGGGAGGACACGCTCCACAGGCCCTTTTTCCTGGGAAATCAGAGTTGTGAGTGCATGTGAGATGGGGAACTGGCTTCACTTAGGAAATCCCTTCCCCCACCACTCACTTCATCCTGTCCCTGCACACAAGCTTTGCAGCATGCGCTATATTCAAATTCGTGCATCAGCAAAATTACAAGTTACTGCATGTTGTGAATCCTCAGGTTGTTTGCAAAGAATAAGTGTTCTTAGTTACTGAGTTCTCAGATGTGGAAGGTCTTCTGCTGGGGTGACGGGGGGAGGGGGGTGGAGAACAGTACCAAACTGGCAATCAGAGACCTGGTTTCCAGTGAGGCTCTGTCAAATCTATCAATCACTTCTCTTTGAGCCCCATTCCCATGGGGAATACCACATCGTTGCCCATATCTCACTGCGTAGCGGGGATCGTTGAACACAACCGACTGTGGATGTGCTTGGGGAAAGCTTGGCACATCTGTATACCTGGAAGTCCTGATTGTTCCTACAGGGAGCCTGTGGCTCCTGCAGAGGCTTGGTCATATGACAGGTATGGGCAAAAGGCCTACTCATAGCCCTTTGACAGCGGAGTGGAGCCTTTACCTTTCTGTTCCCTTTAAAGAGCAGGAGCTCCCCCAACCATTCTTTTTCATGAGGGGAATGGGGGCAGGCCTCAGAAGGGCTAGGATGTTAAAGCCTAGTCTGCGGAGGCCTTATTTAGGAGTTGGTGCATAGGCCCAGGTGGAAGTAGAAAAAAGAAATTTGTGGGACAGAGGATGGAACAAGTTGCTTGCCGGGACCATGATGCCCTGGGAGGACTTCAGCCCAGAGGTCAGCCTCCTCTCAGAACACAGAGCTGTGGGGCCCTGGAGAGAGCTCATGGGTCTAATGCTCACCTTCTAGGCTTCTCGGCAGGATGTGGAAAGCCACTTAATCTCATCTGGGCTGTTGAAGTCACCACCTAGAACATACAGGATTGTTAAGCTCATTTCTGTTGGATGTAGGCGGGTCCCTGAGCTGACCTATCATTGGTCTCTCTGGGTAATTATATAATCGTTTATTTCCTAAGACTAAAACTGCTCACCTCTGTTGGAGAGATGGATTCTTTCAAATGGCAAAGATTCCATTAGATCCCCTTCATGAAATTCTTCAAGAAACAAGAAGGTCCATTTGCCTTAATCAAGTCAACTCTTTGTCCCTAGTAAAGAGCTTATTGAATACAGACAGAAACCAAGTCCTTTGATGCTGAACCTCTCTTCCAGATAGGGTCAGAAGGATTCTATACAGATGTCTAAGAGTGGTCCTCAGCTGCCCTGACCATACAGGCCTGCTTGCTTCCCAACCAACTAAACCAAGCCCTTTCTCAGCTTGAAAGCTTTCGGAGTAAATCTTATCAGCATGTAGTTTCCATTTATGATGTGGAGAACATCTGCCCCACCCAGTCTTAGGCATCCTCCTCAGAGTATTAACACATGAGCCACTTGGGACCAACAAGCTCAGCAAACATTTGTCTATCCCTCTGGGACCTGGGGGTTTAGTCTCTGCAGGTGTCTCTTGTTTTTCTCCTTGACCTGGGTTGGCCTCTGGATGTCAGGCTGCCATATCGGTGTGTCTGACCCGTGCTTGGCTGCAAGGCTGCTGCCATCCTCGGGTATCTTCCTGGTCACGTGTATTCCTAGGTTGTGAAGAGCAGGGGACCATCGGAGTCCTGGTAGCTGACAATAAATCTCCGTTCTTTTGTCCACAGAGGATCAGATTCTCTCAGAACTTGGCCACACCAATAGGATTTATGGCAACGTGGGGGACGTTACAGGCGGACAGTTAATGAATGGGAGCTTCTCCATGGACGGGACAGGACAATCCTATCAGGACTTGAGGGATGGGAGCCCCTATGGAATCCCCCAGTCTCCATCCTCCATATCGTCCCTGCCATCCCACGCTCCTTTGCTCAATGGGCTGGATTACACGGTGGACAGTAATTTGGGCATCATTGCGCATGCAGGGCAGGGAGTAAGCCAGACGCTGAGAACCATGGCTGGGGGACCCACCTCTGACATCTCCACAGGAAGCAGTGTAGGCTATCCCGACTTTCCAACTAGCCCAGCCTCTTGGCTCGATGAAATGGATCATCCTCCTTTTTAACCTTCTCTCCTCCCCACCTTACCTGTCTTCCTGGCTTGAGAGAATATCTTCAAGGATCAAGAGAGACTTGCCTTTTAAGGATCGAAAGTACGTCAATGTGAATTTCCATTATTTTCAATGGAAGTCCTCAGCTGATTCCTAGAAGGCTGTGAGATCACACTAGGGCACTGTTTTCCTGGGGAAGCAGCGGGAGAGCAGCCTTATCTCAGAACACAGTACAGGGGGTAATGGCCTAGAGCTCTAGGGACGCTGGCTTGTTGGGTCTCTCCCCTCCTGTTCTGCTTATGGGCTTGGCTGCTCAGTGCTTTGGTAGCACAAGATGACTGTGATAGGCCCCCCTGGCCTTTGGGAACTTTGCTTCAACTGGTGTGTTTCACGCAATGCCTCCCAAAACACTGCTTCACCAGAACTGAGATTCCTGAGGTAGAGGCCTCACAGCCCTTGAGTAAAATAGAAGTGATTTCTGGACTACCCTTATTGAACCCTATATCTCAAAATGAAAAGGTCAGTTATTAAAGGTCAGTGAACACTTTGACGGCCACAGTTTGATATTAAAAACACGCCCCCCCTTTTTTCCTGTGAAAATATGAATTCTTTCCTACAAAGCAGAGAATATGAGTTCGTTTTGGTTTTAAGTCCCATATGTATTGCTGACTCTGATGGCAAGAGGTGTTTTTCATTGCAGGTGACTGAGGCTGAGCTGAGTAGCTCTGGGGCACCGCTGCAGTCTGCCTGATGAGTCCCCTGGGTGCACAGTGTGCCTTCTTCATTTGCTTGTTTTATTCCACGAGACAGGCTGTGGGCTACAAAATGAGCAAAACTAAAATGTGGGGAGAACAGAATGACAATCAGTGAACATTTGTAGACACATTTGGATTCCACACCTGCAGTCTGTTCAGTCGTACCAGCAAATGCCAGCCTTCCAGAGTCCCCCATTCTTGTGAGGTGAAATATTTGGAGTCTGCTTTGAGGGAGTTGTTTAGATGAGCTTGCAAGTCTACCGCTGTCCCCTTAATAATGAAAGCTTTCTCTGCTGTCCTGGCTGACTCAATTGGACGACAGTTTTGGTCGTTTCCAGGAACCAGCAATGGTTTTTTGGCCTATGTTGGTTGGGAAGAATCACTTGGGGAGCAGCCTAAAATCGTCTAAAGGGTTCTGAGTGGTCCTTGGGCTGATCTCTCTGGCTTGCTGGCTGGACACCTGCCATGCTTTGGGCTGCAGTCCCATGGTCAGAAAGCCAGAGCTCTCTAGCCAGTGGTAGTGCAGGGACTCCCTGTTGTGCAGGTTTGCAGTAGCACATCACTAAGCCTGAGGCCAGGGCAAGGCCAACCTCTGCTTTACCAGTTGCCACTTCTGCGACAGTGCACTGCTGTGGGAAACACTGTTCTGAATGGTGCTTCAGCTCCCTCCGTGTGCACCCATCTGCCATCAGGAAGCTCTCCATTTGCAAAGTGGAATTTATGCCTGTCCCTCTGGAAAGCTGTGATTTGCTTCTTCTGGACTCCCGTTCTCTTAAATGAGATCAGCAGAGTGGAAAAGGGTGAGAAGGCATTGCCTTTCTATCACATGAAGTGATGGGGCTAGAGACCCTAAGGACCCTTCCTTCTGTGAATGGTTGGTCATCTTTTGAGGACTGCACAGATTTAGGCATGTCATAGGCAGACTAAAGGAAGAATACACAGTTCCTCTCGGGCTGCTGCATCTTTTGTAAGCCCCTTCCCAGGACAAAACTGAGTTCATTTAAACTTCTTTCAAACAGTAAACTCTGGGATCAGCCTTCGGGCCACCTCTTCTCTGACCAATTTTATGGTGTACCCTTGTTTTTCTGTGTGTGGCAGTGGTCATGATTTTTGCTTGAGGAGTCTGCAAATGTAGACGCTTTCCTTGAGGTTCCATGTTTATGGATGATGGTGTGTTAAGCCTAGCCAATTTTGTGCTATTGGGAATTCGTCAATCATGAACATTGGGGTGGGAAGGAAGACACAAATGCAAGATAACAAGCCATGTGAGGAAAAGAAAATGCAATTGTCTTTTTGGAGGATGGCTTTTAAAATATACATCTTAGCAGGCTGCTCAAAATACACAGGAGAAAAGGCTCTGCTGGGCAGTGAACCAGCTGAAAAGCTGCACACCCAGATCACTGTTGCAGGTTGACTGTTTGGCTGACTAAACTCATGGATTTCAGGGGCACTTGATGTTTTTGGTGAGTACAGCGTGGGGGAGAGCAGGCTCTTTAGAGAGGGGAATCCTCCTCTGTGTAGCACTGTTTAAGATCACCGTTAGTTCATCAGTTTTTGTTTCTGTAAGTTAATCATACTCATTCCCAGTTCAATAGTGGAAGAAGGAGAGGCCTTACTCATTTATACTAATATAATAAATCTCTTGAGGAACTCAGTGAACAGTTAACGAGATCAAGAGTTCTTTGGCATCAGTAGGGCTGGGTAGCTGGAAGAACGCTTGAGAGCACTGGCCTGAAAACAAGGAGAGCTTTGTTTTCCAGAGCCACCTCTCCAGAATGCAACAAACATTGTGGCCTGTTTAGAAGCACAGTCACCGTAGGTCTAAGATTTTTGCAGGTGGAGTTAGCATTATGGGTGGGCCGGTGCCACTAATGAGCCACTACATGACAAGACTGTTCCTTGGCTCTTCTGGACTTTGGAAATGGAGAAGAGCAGGGCATTCATTACCTTTAGCTTCTCTTGGAGGCACTCCTCTGTTGCTTGAAAGTTCTATTATGGGGTATAACGTGCTACATGGTAGCTGTTTTCCCCTTGCTAAAATGTATGGATGAATTTTCAAAATGACATGAGACCTTCTAGAGGCATTCACAATATTTTGACCTGTCTTTGGCTTTAAGACAGCAATTAACTAGCAACCATTATCTGCAGTGCGTGGCTGGCCAATTTTAGAGTAGGAAGCTCTTGAGTCCAGGAGCAAATTATTTAAAATCTCAAGTTCCAGTGGTAACTGGTATAAGCAAACATGGAAACTGAGGGGCTTTGGAGGAATCTATATTTGTTGGAAGTTAATGAAACCATGGAGGAAATACCAGGTTTAAGGGCTAAGCTGGCCCAATGGGTAAATCACATTGTTGGGAGTAGGGTTCTTGGCTTTTCAAGGACTTGCTGTGCAACCTCAGGCAAATTCCTTTCAGTCTTTGTGCTTTCTCTTTCTTGTTTCATCTGACAGTTCTGAATATAATGTAAAGTAGAGATCAACTATCATATTGATAACACTGTTCCTGCAAATGAATACTGCGAAACATCAGGGAAAGAAGAACAAATTAAGACTCGAGAAAAGCATTTGGCAGTGTCCTTAACATTTTTTTTCTTGGCCAGTGTAAAACAGGAAACCTAGTAAGAAAATCTGGCCGTTAGATCTTCATCATTAAGTTCACTTTGCAAGGAAGTGTAAGAAGTCTGTAAAACAAAAGACATTCCCATCTCTGAAGCTCAAGCTGGTGACTGCGAACTGCCTCCTCACGGGAGGGGTTCAAGGCTTCCAATTAGAAAAGCTGTGTGCTGTATGACAGTCCACTCTCTGGCACTCTCACATGCCACGACTGACAACTTGGTCATAACCATGAAAATAATGACCGTAGCCAGCAGGGTCTGGAAGGCCTGAGGAGGCTCATTTTTAAACACTGCACTTTAAAAATTGGAAACCGTGAGATGAAGAAAAATTCAATTAAGTGGAAATGAGTTTTGTTTTATTGCCTGCTGCTGAAGGGCTCTGGGCATGCTGAAAGCTAAATAAAAAGCACATCACTGGCTCTCTCTTTCTTGGATTGGTCAATTGGCCCTTTTTGCAGTAGTTGCTCCAACTGCTCTAAACACAGTGACTGGAGCCAAAAAGAGAGAGCTCAGCAAAGTCATCCCATCCACACTCTGCTTGGTAGGACCACACTAAAAGCACAGTTTCATGCTGCTAGCTCTGGTGAGGAGACAGCTGCAGGTTTGGGAGGTACACCAAGCATTCCTTTGCTTAGGGAGGCGGAGCACAGGTGAATAGAGGAAGGACACCCCCCCTCTCATCTGTTGCTCACCAAGAGGCAAGAATCACACCAACTTTCCCACTTGAGGACTGTGTTCAGCCAAACAAGCAGGTTCAGGGCTGTGGGATTCCAGAAGTTGCTCTGAGCTTGCAGTCAGACCTCAAAGCCCCAGATCCCCTCAGCTCTGGATTGTTGCCCTCATCCTTCACAGTGTAAATTTTGTACAGTTAAAGAGAAATGAAGTCTCATTTCCTGGAGAAAAAAAAAAAAAAAAAAAAACCAGAAAAAAAAAAAGGACCCATCTATCCTTATTTATTGCCATGTGACTTTGGAAAACAGAAGCTGGTGCGTTTGTTTGTATCTGCCTCCTGTGTGTTGGCATGAGATGTGTACGGTAAAATTATGTAAAATAAATATGAAAATTCTTTAGATGTTGATGTGTCTTGCTTTTCATTTGGTTTGCTGGAAATTTTTTCTCTTGACATAAATAGAATAAAAACTGAGTGATATGGGGTCTTTTTTAATCATCAGAAGGAAACCAAAAATACAACTCTGAATGCCAGAACTATTATACTTAGAGCCACGAAATACCAGAACCACTCAATAAAGGACTGATTAGAAGTTCCCTGGTTTTTCTAATAACCATTTCCTGGGCATAGTCCTCTGTCCCCAAACTTAGGAAATGAGCTGAACAAATGTAGACTCTATAATTTTTAGGTACTGTTTGTTCAGTGGCATTTTATCTTACTTTTTGAGACAGTCTTGCTCTGTTGCCCAGGCCAGAGTGCAGTGGTGTGATCTCAGCTCACTGCAGCCTCTGCTTCCTGAGTTCAAGTGATTTTTGTCCCTCAGCCTCCAGAGTAGGTGGGATATCAGGCACGCGCCACCATGCCTGGCTAGTTTTTTGTATTTTTAGTAGAGAGGGAGTTTCGCCACATTGGCCAGACTGGTTTAACTCCTGACTTCAAGTGATCCACCCACCTGGACCTCCCAAAGTGCTAGAATTATAGGCGTGAGCTGCCGTGCCCGGCCTGTCCAGTAGCATTTTAAAAGTCCTTCAGACTTACACATTTTTCTTTTTAGAGAAAGTACATGCAAGTGTCTCTACTTACAGAGGAACAAAAACACTTCATCAGAGTCATCAGGGCTTCTGGACAAACATTTTCTAGGAAAATCTCCTTTTAGGTTTTTTCCTCGGCAGGAGGCTTTATCAGTGTGCAGACCCTAAGTTTAGCTGGAATGGAAACAGCAACAGAGACTTTTTCATTACATAAAAAAAAAATTAAAGTCATAGCATTTCTTTACAGCTGGGATTACACTGTGGAAAAACTGCAGGGTACTTCTATTCCCCATTAGTCATCAGTTCTGTTTGGCTGAGAGGATCCAAAGCAGTGGCACTGTCCAGAAGGGTAGCTACTAGCCACACATGGCTATTTAAATTGATTAATAAAACTAAAAGTTTAGTTCCTTACACTAGACACATTTTAAGTGCTCAACAGTTTCATATGACTAGTGGCTACAGTATTTGGGCAACAGTGATATAAAACACCTCTATCATTGCAGATGGCTCTATTGGATGGTGCTGATAGAGTCTCGTCAGGAAATCTTATTTATCACATGTTTAGCTATTACTTATCCTGGAATATTTGGGGCCATGGAGCAAGGAAATATTCTGAGACTCCTTAGACAGTGGCAGTGCCAACTTCTCTACCAGCTTATCGTGTATGTGATGTTTCCCTCTCCCCTTTTGTTTTTTCTCCTTTCCTGGACAGATAAAACTTAAAAGCACTACACAGAACAACCTGGTTAGGTGGAAAAAAGATTAGGCTCTGGACCTCTGAATTCTCTAATGCTGCCACCAGGTTACTGTGACTTACCTAAGTCCAAGACCTTTGTGCACCAAAGTCTACCACTTAAAACAGAAAGTTAGTACCTCCAAGGCAGAATGCCCAGTGAGATTCCTGGAGGGATTAAAGGTCTTTTAGTGGAGACCCAAAGCTCTGCTATCAAGGAGAGTCATAATCCTTTGCCAAAATCATCTCCTGTGGTAAGTGCTTTGTCAGGCTGAGAAAGGCCAGAGATCTTACTGGGTTATATACCAAGGAAGGGTGGAGATGAGAGCTTCAAATGGGAGTAAGTATATTGGCAGGGGATACAAAAGGTACTGAATGTAAGGACTTTTTTCTTCACTAGCACAGTCCCTTGGGTGGTGGTTAAGGAAATTCACAGTGTGGGCAGGAAGGGCTCTGTTGTTCCTAAACTTGGTAACTCATTCCTGAGGCACTGGTAATGGGCATGAGAATTTTGGCCAGTTTATGAAGTCTATACCATGTTTTGGGGTACCCTAATTTGTCTTCCATTCTTAGCCCTGCATCACCAGCCTATGTTGCATCTTTGTTTTCAACATACTATCAATCATTTTGAGTACAACAGGTTCATCGAACTGTTTCCACTTATGCTCTAGTGTACACAGCTCCCACCACAATGCTAACCTAGTAATAACTTTTAGGGACTATAAAACGTGTCTAGCTCACAAAGGACAGATCTGGTCCCTCCCCATACCCCCTTATTTTGGTGGTTTGCTCACTGGAGACTGGCTCTGGAGCAGTCTGATTTTGTTTCTGACAGTGGCTTTCCAAAAAGACAGCTGTGCTTAAAGAATAAAGGAAAGGGGCCGGGTGTGGTAGCTCATGCCTATAATCCCAGCACTTTGGGAGGCCAAGGTGGGAGGATCACTTGAGGTTGGGAGTTTGACCACCCTGACCAACATGGAAAAACCCCATCTCTACTAAAAACACACAATTAGCTGGGCGTGGTGGCGCATGCCTGTAATCCCAGCTACTTGGGAGGCTGAGGCAGGAGAATTGCTTGAACCAGGAAGTGGAGGTTGTGGTGGGCTGTTATCACTAGCCAGAAAGAAAGACAGACTCACTCAGGAGAACACATGGAGGCTCCACAGTCAGCGTTCCATTGCTTTCCTATCCTTTCTCCTTGGGCCCAGGATTCTACTCAGCTAAAATCACAAAAGGAAAAAAAGAAATGAAAGGTAAGTCAGTGTGTTGTACATTTTAACTAATTAAATTAGAAGTAAAATCTTGAAAAGCAATCTCAGTGTATCTGCATGTATTTCCTTAGATTTGAAAATTTAAAAATTTTAAAGTTTAAAAATTGTCCTTGAGAGCCACCGTGGCTCAGGCCAGTTGTTGTGGCACTTTAGGAGGCAAAGCTACGCGTTTGAGGCCAGCCTGGGCAACAGAGAGAGCTCTCATCAATTGAAAAAAAAAATAGTCCTTTACAGTCTGAAGTGTGTCCTTTGCCACACTTGCTTAGAAGAATGAATGCTATTTCAGTTTTATTCAGTTATTCAGAATTCCTGTGCCTTTCTTCATAAAGTCTCTTTGCCTGGCTGTGCAGGGAGCACTGACCAAACTCAGTATGGCTGATTATTTGGCTCATGACTGACACAGGGAATTAAATAGTTCAGCCACAACTGTGGAGAAGTACTGAGTTAGGAGGCAGAAAAAAAAATCGATGTTTATAAAAATGGGGCCACATCATTAGGAAAAGGGAAATTTTATTATCATCCTCCTAAAAGGAGTAGTAAATATATATCATCCAAAACTATTAAATAAAGGTCTTTTAAATGGTCAGCTCCTGCCCTGGGAAGAGTGTATCACATCCTTTCAGAGAAAGCAGGCATGGGCTTTTGCATGTAACATTTGTCTCTTTATGATCTTTTAATTCATTTTCTTCTGTCATTTTTGCCATTGTGATTTTAGGATTTTCTTTTAGAACTCTTTCCTTTTCGGTGATTTTTCCATCTCCAAAAACAAAAAAAATGAATTTAAGTATTACACACAAACTGGTATGTTATTCTGTAACTAAATTAGGCAAGTTATAGGGTGTCCCTGAACTGGTCAGAGCTTACCTGGTTCACAGAGGCCGAAGTACCTCTAGAGTTGTAGGAGAGGCCTTTAAAAAAAATGTAGCAATTTATCTTTCTCTTGCTTGCCAGTCCTAGACCAGGATCTCCTGTTGGTTGGCAGGGGTTGGGGATTTGGGAAAGGCTGGAAACGGCTTTCTGAAAGATAAAATATAGACCCTGAAAAGTGGTCTTGGCACACACTTGGAGTTGGAAATAAAAGAGAGATCTTTAAAATGGTAAATAGATTTCAACAGATGGCTTCTGCACAGCAATGGAGAGCCCAGGCGAGGACTTTGGGGTTAAATCTCATATTTTAGTCACCTGGGACTAGTTTATTATTTCAGAAAACAAACATCCATAAAGCTGATAGCCCCTTCCCCCTCCTCTGAAGTGGAATCCTTGAAGGTTGCCTCCTCACTGGCCAGCTGTCTGCAGATAGTGACCCAGGGAACTGAAAGTCACTTTTTCGACACCTGTCAACTGCAAAGCTGGAGGGATATGATAACCAAGAAACTATTATTACTGGTGGGCCAGAACTTCTATACTCAGTATGTGTGTGCTGGCTTAAAAAAAAATCATTTTAACATTTAATGCTCCTCAATTAAAGTGATTTCCTGGAGTGGCTGCCAAGCTTCATTTAGAATGCGCATTAACCACTTTCTGTATCGGTAGTTAAAGGCACTGAGGGATTTAAAGAGCAATCCACAAGTCTGTTCAGTCAAGGTTTGGCGGAATAAAGCAGATTATAAACAATAATATATGTCTTTTTGTTTTTTTTTTTTTGGAAGGGTTCCAAACTCACAAACGGAGCTAAAGTGCCATAAACATATCCAGGACTAAGCTTTGGGCTCCACAAATGTACTCCATGAAAGCCATGGGCACTGGGAGTGCCACTTTCTATCTTGAGTGTGTGCATGAGCACGCACTTTAAAAGAGACTTTTATTATACAAAGTGTCCATCAATTGAACTTACCTTCTAAATATTAAAATGGAAACTGGGATTGCTACACAAGTGAGAGGAAAAATAAATCCTACCTGTAGTGCCGATGATGAATTTGTGGCTGCTGCCTAGCACAGTCCATTGGAAGTCACCTCTTGACTCCTTAATGCCCTCATGGTCCCACATGTTCAGCCAGTAGCATCCAGTAGCATTAGGTTCAAATGGTCACTTTCCCACCCCTGAGAGAAAGCCACGCTGAGTGCCTAGAGCTCCAGCACGAGATCATTTCCCACCCCTGAGAGAAAGCCACGCTGAGTGCCTAGAGCTCCAGCACGAGATCATTTCCCACCCCTGAGAGAAAGCCACGCTGAGTGCCTAGAGCTCCAGCACGAGACAAGTGCCTGTTGTGGGGCAGCTCCTCCCATGTTTTCTCACCTGGTTTTTAACTTCAGAGTTTTATTGTTTAGGAATAAAATCAGCAAGAAAGATTCTGTCCTGCAAACAAATCAGTCTGTAATTTGTGAACACCCCGACCTGGTTTTTAGAATTAGGAATACAAAGGAAGGAATAGTGCCCCCGGAAGTGATTCCAGTACATGCATCCCGTAAGACGGTGAAAATGTGAAATGATGTTTTGTAATTTTGCTAAGAAAAAGTGACACAACAAAAAACAGGAAAGAAAATTTTGAAGAATTCAAGTATAAAAGAAAAATACAGGCCGAGTATCCCTAATCTGAAAATCAAAATAGCAAATGCTCCAAAACCCAAAACTTTTTCAGTGCTTACATGTCAAAGGAAATTCACATTGAAGCATTTTGGATTTTGGCTTTTTAGATTAGGGATGTTCAACTGGTATGTATATAATGCAAATATTCCAAGTTTTTTTTAAAAATCAGAAATCTGAAACATTTCTGGTCCCAAGCATTTCGGGTAAGGAACAGTCTCCCTGAACTAAGAAATAAGCTGTGAATTCCCAATAACTATGCGTGATTCATGTGAAGTGATCCATACAAAGATCATGACAGGAGTATTTCAAGGACAAGTGAATATTCGGTTAAATAGCTTTACCTGTTCAGTCTTCTAGTATAATGCCAATTAATGCATATTGAAAAAGTGACCACACTTGGTACATAATAAACACTAGCTGACGACCATCGGAAGGAAGCATACTTTTTCTTGAGTCTGATAATCACCATACTTTAATCCAGCATCTCTCTGGTGAAGCAACTGTGAATGATTACTGAAGTAATTAAAGATACTCAAGGTAAAGTTCCAATAATAATCATAATTTTTCAAATCATACAATTATGAAAGACGGTATTAAGGTCCTTTTTTTTTTTTTTTGAGAGATGGAGTTTTTCTTTGTCACCCAGGCTGGAGTGCAGTGGCACGATCTTGGCTCACTGCAACCTCTGCCTCCTGGCTTCAAGTAGTTCTCCTGATTTAGCTTCCCAAGCAGCTGGGACTACAGGCACACACCACCACGCCCACCTGATTTTTGTATTTTTTGGTAGAGATGGAGTTTCACTATAATTTGGCCAGGCTGGTCTCAAACTCCTCATCTCAGGTGATCTGCCCACCTCGGCCTCCCAAAGTGCTGGGATTACAGGCATGAGCCACTGAGCCCAGCTGCCATTATGGTCTTTATGGTATAAAACGAAAGCTCAATGTGTGTATATAAAATCCACCAAGAGGCTGATAATGCACCTTTGAGTATGGCTGCTTTTGCTTATTCTGATAATATTGTTCAGAGAAATTTTCGGACTTGATAGGAAAGGCTTGGATAATCACACTGACTTTGAATAAATAAGATCATGTGGCCAGGCGTGGTGGCTCTTGCCTGTAATCCCAGCATTTTGGGAGGCTTAGGTGGGCAGATCACTTAAACCCAAGAGTTCTAGACCAGCCTGAGCAATACAGGGAGACCATCTCTACAAAAGAAAAAAAGAAATTAGTTGAGCATCATGGTGTGCACCTGCAGTCCCAGCTACTTGGGAGGCTGAGATGGGAGGACTGCTTGAGCCAGGCAAGTCAAAGCTGCAGTGAGCTATAACGGTGCTACTGTACTCCAGCCTGGAAGACAAGAGTGAGACCCTGTCTCAAAAAGACGAACAAACAAAAAATGGTGTACTGCTGTTATTTCACCGAAGCTAAGATAGAACTGATTGTAAGAAGCATAAGTTTATGTATCACTAAGAAAAAAATGCTGGCAACTGAACTACGCTGGGCCATTGTTTATAAAAGCCATCCAATTTTGGATATGTTAAAATGTGAACTGCACTTCAGTCTGGGCAACAGAGTAAGCCCTTGTCTCAAAAAAAAAAAAGTGAAAATAGGCACATCTCAGAATTGATCAAATATAATATTGTAACTACGATGAAAACATTTGACCCAAATCACCTTAGGAACTGGGGATTTGAAATTCACTCATAAATATTTAAACTTAATACCTTCTATTTTCATTACTAATTGTAGCTGATGGGTTACATACCTATTCTATAATAAATATTTATTTATGAAGGGGGACTTTTAAGGGCTTGAAAAAAAGCTTTCATATTCAACTGAAGCATATATTTGTCTGGACACTAAACTCTTCTGCAACCTAAGCTCAGCTCTGCTAGAGTCACACACATTATTCATTAATCTCAGAGATGCTGTAATGAACATGGAATAATAACCCATAGCCAAGTAGTTAAACCTGGCAGGAAGCTAAGAAATACCTATTTAATAGAAAGGTTCACTAGATTATTGCAACCTTTTAGCTGGAAAATGCTGAAACTTTAAAAAAAGATATACTAGATGTAATTCCAGATATTATACACTGGTTGTTACCCTTCTACCAGACAAGCATAAGAGATAACATGTGGCCAGTTGGCTGACTTCTTACATCTTTATTAGAAACATAGTTATAATAGGTTTAAAAGAATTTAGTTTCTGGTTTGTAATTCACTACTTTCTATGAGTCTTTTCAAGATATCCATGATCTATAGATCGTGGAGATGATCTATAGATTATGATACGACAGATAGTAAGGGTGCTGAAAATGCAGATACTGATGACCAAAGAATAGAGATTTTGGAAATTGGTTTTAGAATGTACTTGAAAATGTTAACAACTGTTTTTAGTGTGACAGCTTTGAATATAAATTTGAAATCTTTAAAATAAAAGTTATATTCTTTACTTAAAAACAAATCTATACAGTTTTAGTTGTGGCAAAACAGGTAATAAAAAACTTGTCTAAGAAATATCAAGTTCGAATTGCAAAAGAGAGATGAAAATAGGAGTTCCTTAATAGCTTCTTGCTCAAATACCCTGTAAATTAAAAATGAATAAATTGTTTTTGATTTGCTAATGTCTTAAAAATGCACAAAGTAGTATCAATTAAAAAAGGCATGCAACATCCTGGTCATTTCACTATAACTAGTGTTATGTTTCTTAAGACACATTCAATTAGTGTGGAATGTGAGTTAAGCTAAACAGTAGGTTGCAATGTAGCTAGGACTGTGGTGAAATAACAGACAATGAAGAGAATGCTCTACTAGAATTACAGCATTTCAGTTATGTATTAATATGCATATCACTTCCAGAGATTAAATTACTTCAAAAATGAACCATCTTGGTGAACGATTTTGGGTTTGTATCTCAGAAATTAAGAAGTTAAGAGAAAAATCACAAAATAAACAGCATTAATATGCCTTGTTTCTGTTATAGAGGGGCTTGTTCCAAAGAACAGGTTAGCTCACACTAATAACAATCTTCACCAATGAGGACTATGCTAAGCAAGTTTATTACTCAGTATTTTAATAGTAACACCTGTTAGAAAAATTATCTTTTAAGTAGTTATCTTTACATCTCAACTCACTTTTTATTTCATTTTTCTTCCTATGACAACTATCTACTTTCCTCAGATGGAGCTTCTGGGGTTTACAGAGGGAAAATATTGGGAGGCAGTTTCAAGAGTGGCATACCTGGCTGAGCACAGTTGCTCACACCTGTAATCTCAACAGAGATTACGTTAAGAGGCCTGAAAACTGCTTAAGGCCAGGAGTTTGAGACCAGCCTAAACAACATAGGGAGACCCTATCTGTATAAAAGATACAAAAATTAGCAGGGTATGGTGGCATGCACCATGCCAGCTATTTCAGCTACTTAGGAAGCGGAGTCGGGAGGATCCCTTGAGCCCAGGAGGTGAGGCTGCAGTGAGCTATGATCACACCATTGCACTTCAACCTGGGTGCAAGACTGAGACCCTGTCTCAAAAAAAAAGAGTGGCATACTAGTCTATCCTTTAAATTAAAATGATGGCATACTTGTCTACATTTTTAATAAAAAACAAAAGTTCTTCTGGTATCCAGAAATAACTTCACATTAACATATTAGATAGACCAAAATAGACTTAACAGTTCAGACCTAAGGTGGTTTTTTTTTTTTTTTTTTACAGAGACTGCTGCTACATATGACATAGTCATTACAGCCAATTAAAAGAGCCCTAAAGAAATTCCTTTCCTGTTTAGTGAAGGTGAATTTAGTATGACCTAACCCTGCTGAATCCTCCATAACCTGTTTCAATCCTAGAGTGAAAACACTATGTATTATTCTAAAATGCCCCAGGGTTTTGAGATTTTCAATAAATCTGGTTATTCCTGACTTCAATACCCCTTACGTGTTTTTCTTTTTTCTCCTTTGCTTTCTTTTTCTTAACCCTCCTCTTCGTCCCTATTTTCCCAATTCTGTCTGCCAAAAGAATAGGACATTTTAGCTGCCTATTCAGACCAGGTGTGCAAAATGCTACAAAAGATCATTTTATCTTTACCACATTGGGATCTCAAGAAACTTTCCCTAACGGTACATTTGCTTCTGTATGTTTTTTAAAAGAGCAGCCAGGTTTAATACTGTGAAATATGATCTGTCTCCTCCTCTGCCCACCCTCTAAAGCAGTGATAAATTTCAGAGCATGCTCAGCAGAATTGGATTATATTATGCACAGTATACATGTTCATCACCAAAACTCTATTGCCTAGAATGTATGCAAGAAGAATGAATTGCTGAGACTTCAAAATCCCAGTTCCATAGAACTGATTTTATTAGCCAATACATACCAAAGATGGACGATAAAAGAAGTATTATTTTTGTAGTTTTCTTTCATAATGGAAGCCTTATGCTATTACAGACTGCGGTTTTCCAGTCTTTTGATTAAGGCTTGCCAGTTGTGTGCCGCTGCAGCACCAAAGAAACTGTTTTACAGCCTGTCACCTCCTCCGGCAGGCAGCCATCCTGGTCTCGGAGAGTGGGGTCAGCACCAGACTGGAGCAGCAGCTCTACAATATCCAGAAACTCACATGCAGAGGCTGAAAGGAAAATTGACAAATATGAAAACAAGTTTACCACGAGACAGAGAAACTCCTTCACTTCAGCAGGCAAGGAAAGTGCTGAGCAGTAAGGAATACTGAACAATGAGCAATGTTACAGTGGCTGAAGAATGATCAGGCCTGGTAATGAGAACTGTGGTATTACGCTGGCTTTTCAAGCCTTAGGAAAAATAAAATTTACCTTTTGGTTGCCTAGAAACACATACACACAAACAAATATATATTCCTAATTATGAGGCTTTGGGCTCTAGTCTTTAAGAATGGGTTGAAGGAAAACAATAAACAATAGTGTTTAAGTATCTATTTTACTTTGATCTTCATTCCAGAATAATGATAGGTGTGCAGGATACATCAAAAGACTAAAAATACTGTAAATGTCAAATAAAATGTTTTGTTTTTAAAGAGGGGAATAAGTGGGTAACTAACTGAACCTTACAATTTGTAAATTAAAAAAAAAGGCATCAATGGTTGTTATTGATAAGTCCAAGGTATAGGAAGGGGAAAAAAGGGTGTAGAGATATCAAGAGTTATAATTATGGTAAAGTATTGCCTCAAAATGGACAAACAGACCAGAAGCTTAGAACTGAGAGTGTGATCTATTCTTCTGCACACATATGAAAACTTAATTCATGACAAAGTTGGCAGATCAGTGGGGAAATAAAGATCCAGTGATTAGATGGTGTTGAGACAACTAGACTCACTAAAGGCAAAAAGAGGCACCAGATGAAACATAAATGGCAATAAACATATAAAAAGATAAACATTCCACATAATCAGAGAAATGAAAATTAAAACCAGGAGATGCCATTTCATACTCACTAGACTGGTGAAAATTAACTTTGATAATCCCAAGCACTGAGAAGGACTGGAGCAGAGAAATTCCCTTCAGATGTCAGAATATACACTGGTATTGCTACGTTAGACAAAACTATGGCATTACAGCTTAAATCTAAACACACATATACCCTCCAACCCAGCTTCTAGTTATCTACTTTTGCATGCGTTCTCCAAGAGGTATTTGCGAGGATGTACACAGCGGCACTGTTCATAACAGACCCCAAATGTAAACAGCCTAATGTAAATAAAGTATCATTCATTTGTACAATAAAATCCTAGAACACTAAAAACTAATGAACTATAGCTTCACAAAGCATGGGTTTATCTCCAAAACACAATGTTGAAGGGTAAAAAACAAGTGAGAATAATCATGTTATATGATTTCACTTAAAAATTTGAAAACAGGTAAAACTAAGGAATATTGTTCAGACATACAAATATGTACTGCAACTATGAAGTAAATCATTAATATAAAATCTAGCGCTCTCTAAAAGATGACCACTAGGGAGGGCTGTATGATTTGAGAGGTATGCACAGGAGGCTTCAGCGATAATGGTGATGTTCTATTTCTTAAGCTAAGTAGTGGTGAATTTTTAAAAGCTATATTTAAATTCTTCATATACATATTTTATATACCCTTTTGTAGCATGATTATCACACAACAAAGTGTGTTGTCTTTTGTTTGTTTTAAGAGAAAGAAAGGGTATGCAGCTGAATTCCATGGCCCCGCCCCTTTTTTTTTTTGAGACAGGGTCTGGCTCTGTCTCCCAACCTGGTGCAGTGGCGAGACCATGGCTCACTGCAGCCTTGACCTTCAGGCAATCCTCCCACCTCAGTTTCCTGAGTAGTTATAACCATGGGTGTGTGCCACCATGCATGGCTCTCACTTTGGGAATCTCACTTTGTTGCCCAGGCTGGTCTCAAACCATTAGGCTTAGGCAATCCTCCTGCCTTGGCCTCCCAAAGTGCTGGGATTACAGGCATGCACCACTGCACCTGGCCCTATAGCCATTTTATTGAGCACATACTGTACCAGTCCCATCAGGAATACAGGTAAGATTCCTGTTCCTGAGAACATACTGTAAATATGTAAATAACCAATTCTAACACAAAAGAATGAACAAGTACTGTGGCAGAAACACGTACACTGCAAAGGCAGGGAGGAAGAAGGAGACTGAGGGATCAGGAAACACTACAAATTGGTGGTAAGATGTAAGATAAGCTCTGAAGGATCGAGCAAAATTCCTAAGAAGAAAAGGTACTGCAGAATGCAAAAATACCACTAGCAGAGGCATGACGGAATGCTGGGAGAACTGTCTGCTGGCTTAGGGAAGCAATACAAAGAGTTGAAAGTAGAGAGGCTAGACTGAAGTCAAATTACTAGGGCCTTGAATCTGTCACACTAAGAAGTTTGGGTTTTGTCAAGTGATCCACAGGCACTTATGAGGAGTGGAGTGGCACAATTTGGCAAACACTCATCTGATTTCTGTCGCTATAGTTTTCTTTTCTAGAAATAGAAATCATAGAGCATATAGTCTTTTGTATCTGATCTCCTTCACTTAGCATGTTGCTTTTGAGATCCATCCACATTGCTTCAAGTATCAGTAGTTCTTTCCTTTTGATTGCTGAGTAGTATTCCATTGTATGGATGTATGCTTCCAATTTTTGGCATTAAATAGGGGTCTTATGACCCCTAAAGGTCACTGTGTGGTCCTGTTTTAAATGTTTTCACACTTTGTGGGTAAATATCTAGGAGAATTGCTGAGTCATATGGCAAGTGAATGTTTGATTTTATAAGAAACGACCAAACTTTCCTAAAGTTTGCATTCCCACCAATAACTATAAATTCCACTTGCTTTGCATCCTTGCCAGCACTTTATTATTATTAAAAATATTTTTTAGCCATTCTAGTTAGGTCTATGGGGGCTTTTCATGTGATTTCTAATCTGTACTTCCCTAATGTCTAAGAACGAACATTTTTCATGTGCTTATTTGCCAACTATTTATCTTTGGTAATTTATCTGTTTAAATCGTTTGCTCGTTTATTAATAAGGCTGTCTTTTTTTTTTTGAGGTGGAGTCTTGCTTTGTTGCCAGGCTGCAATGTAGTGGTACAGTCTTGGCTCACTGCAACCTCCGCCTCCTGGGTTCCAGTGATGCCCCTGCCTCAGCCTCCTGAGTAGCTGGGACCACAGGTGTGCACCACCATGCCCAGCTAATTTTTTTTTTTTTTTTTGTATTTTAGTAGAGACAAGGTTTTACCATGTTGGCCAGGATGGTTTTGATCTCCTGACCTTGTGATCTGCCTGTCCTGGCCTCCCAAAGTGTTGAAATTACAGGCGTGAGCCACCACACCTGGCCAGTTGTCCTTTTCTTATAAGAAGTCTTTATATGTTGTGGATAGAAATTTTGTTCCCAAATACATGTTTTATAAATATGTTCTCCCAGCATCTGATTTGTCATTTTTCTTAAGAGTGTCTTGAAGAGAAGGTCTGAATTTTGATAAAGTGCAATTTCTTTTATAGTTTGTGCTTTTTGTGTTCCATCTAAAAAAAAAAAATCTTTGCTTATACCAAGATCACAAAGATATTCTTCTAGTTCTTTATCATTATTCCTCTTAAATATAGGTCTAAGATCTTACCTTCCCAGTTAATTTTTGAGTAGGGTTCAGGCTCACCTTTTGTTTTATTTTGCATGTGGATGTCCAACTGTTACAGCTCTACATGTTGAAAAGGCTATTCTTCCCTCCACTGAATTTTATCTTGACATTTTTGTTAAAAATCAGTTGACCATTTGTGATTGGATCTATTTCTAGGTTATCTACCACATTCCTTTGGTCTATATACCTGTTCTTATACCAATACAACATTGCCTTGGTTTCTGTAGCTTTATAGTAAGTCCTGAAACCAGTGTGGGACCTACAACTATATTCTTTTTCAAGGTTGTTTTGCATATTCTAGGTCCTTTGCTTTTCCATATAAATTTTAGAATCAAATTATAAGTTTTTACAAAGATCCTGCTGGAATTTCGATTGAGACCCCACTGAATCTATGGATCAGTTTGGAAAGAATGGACAGCTTAACAATGTTGAGTCTTTTGATCAACAAAAAATTGTATCTGTCTCCATTTACTTCAATTTTTCTTAATTTTGATCATAATACTTAGGAATTCTATGCATACAAATCTTACACTTATTTTGTTTGATGTATCCCTATGAATTTCATGTTTTTGAGGCTATTGCAAATAATATCTTTTAAAATTTAAATATTCAATTGGTCCACTGCAAGCATAAAGAAAAACAAGATTTGTATACTAGCCTTGGTGTTTTTGAATTTTAATTTTCAACTGTTCATTATTAGTATATAGGAATACTCATTTCTGTATATTGATTTTTTACCCTGTGAACTTGCTGAACTCACTTATTCTAGTTTTTTAAAATAGATTATTGTGGTCTTATACACAGATGGACACAGCACCTATGAAAAAAGAAAGCTTTATTTCTTCTTTATAAATCTACATGGCTTTCATTTCGTTTCCTTGCCTTAATGCACTGGCTAGAATTTTCAATATAATGCTGGATCAAAGTGGAGAGAGTGGATATCTTTGTCTTGTTCACAGTCTCAGAGGGAAAGCATTGAGCCTTTCATGAAGGATGATTATTAACTGTCGATTTTCTCAGGCTAAGGAAATTCCCTACTATTTCCTGTTTCTACTTTGCTATGAGTTTTTGTTGTTGTTGTTTTAATCATGAGGGAAAGCTGAATTTTGTCAGCCTTTTCTACAGACATTGATATAATCACATTTTATTTTTTTGATCTGTTGATATGGTGAAATATTATGGTTCTCAATTGCCAAATCAACCTTGCATTCCTAGGATAAACATACCTGGACATAATTTATTATCCTTTTTGTATTTACTAGGTTCAACTTGCTAACATCTTATTAAAGATTTTTGCATCTATGTTCATAAGAAATACTGGCCTGTAGTTTTCTTTTCCTCAAAGGCTTTTGTCTGGATTTGGTATCAGGGTAATTCTGGCTTCACAGAATGAGTGCTCCCTCCCCTTCTATTTTCTGGAAAAGTTTCTGTGTAGAATTTTTTTCTTTTTTTAAGACAGGGTCTCACACTGTTCCCAGGCTGGA